TAAGGACCTCCTCCTTTCCATCCCTCCCATTTAATTTCAGCACTTGGAATTGTAAAACATGAGCCACAGAGGGATTCCTGGCTGGAAAAAAGCCGGTTACAGTTGTGAATGATTTAGATCTCATTGTACAGTGCTTCGCTCCCAGCTGCTTTCCCTTCTCAGTTTGGGACAGAAATGAACATATGGTTTTAACTGATTGTGTGTGAATGAAGCAAAAACACAGGATGATTGCAGGAGGCTGCACATCCAGCATAAAATGAACAAAGGACTAGAAGCCAGGAACCCTTGAATTCTAATTTCAGCAGTGCCATTGATTGAGTGTAAGGGCCTTGGGAAAGCCACTAATCTCTCTGTGCCTTGATTTGCCCCATCTATAAAACTGGTATGATATTTATCTGCCTCAGTGGTTTTGTGAGAACTGTCTTAGTGCTTTGCAAATGTAGAGCTCTGTAGAACTGCTAAATATAACTATTAGAATTTACTTGCATGGTGATAGCTGGCTTTTTGCCTGCCTGGGAAATAGTGTTATGTTACCCATTTGAACCTCTCTAGCTACTGTTCTTGAGTCAGAAATAGAACATCTGCTGGCAAAAATGAGTTGCAGATTCTTAGTGGACAACCTTTTTTTGGAGGTAATGATTAGACAACTATCTTTCACAAACTGTATTACCTTCCTTTCTAGCTGAGCTCCATCAACCCTGTCTCTCCCTTGATAACGGTACCTCTACTGCAACCCCCTCGGTGTCCTCATGGGGCTTTGAGATCAAATTCCCATGCTGCACAAAGAATGGATTAACTTTCTGCTAATTTTCTTATTTGGGAAATAAAATTGTACTGCTAGCTACATCTGTCAAGCTCCTCTCTTCTTGGGGATGTCTATATGAGAATTAGAAGAGAAAATGAGCAAAAAATGGTCTCCGGTTTCATGGCAAGTATTATCATTAGGGTGTCCGCACTCTGCTCCTATTGAACTTCCCTCTAAGTCTTTCTCATGCTCTCTCTCCATTCTAGGAAAGTTACTGTCTCATTCCCACCAGGCACAGTGAACACTGTTTAGTTTTGTTGGCTCAGATATTTGTATCCATGCCGTTTCAATCCAATGGCTTCAACATCAGGAGTGCTGCTCTGGGAACCTAAGGTAATGCCCGATGAACTTGATTTCTAAATAGGGCAGTTTTTGTTTCTCCGCGGATTCACTCCCTGGTTTCAACTGTCTAAGATATGGGTAACATATTAACATCGTCTACGGAAGTGTACTTAACATACCCACCTCCTGACAGCTTTAGCTGTATGTATAACTCCAGTCATTGGCATGACTCAAATGGAATCATGACCTGTATAGTGTATCTAGGTATTTATAATGCACCCATCACGTGTTATCTGTGTGCAGTGATATGGGCAGTACTCTGCACTGAAAGATTATGTGAATGTGCAGGGAGATGGGAGGGGAAGAACATTTTGTGGTATTGGGGGATCCTCTTGAAGGAACAGACCCCCATTTCCATAATTTTTTCACTGTTGATCTCTGAAGGTCTCTCATCCGCGTTTTATCCTCTGCCCACTTCTCACCCTTCCGGGCTGGTGCTGCAGCCACCAGACAGTGCTAAGTCCCTTCTGCACCCAGTAATGACACACTCTGATTGACCAGGGGGACCATAGATGAGGAACAGGTGACCCTCCTGTCCTTTCAGAGGTGAAATACACCGGGTTCCCTTTTCTAGCAGGATACAGAACTTTTTCATTGGACTTACCCTGAGACTCCCCATTGGGAATGGCTGTATGTGGGGAGGCTTGTTTCAAGGACACAGAGGACAGAGGAGGTAGGAGGACTGCTAAAGAAGTGCAATAGATTTATTTATATTTTACCTGATGTCAGCCACATCTGAAGTAACGTTTCTCTGACCATAGTCAATTTGTGGTGCACTCACTTTGGTTCTGAAAGTAAATGTTCCTGGGGTAATGTGTGGAGCTTTTTATTTCAGAGGTGACATTAAATCATCAGACCTTACGGCCAAAATACCAAGGCATGGCTTTATGTAAACTATGTCCCTATAAATACAGAGGAAAGAAGAGTCTAATGTTTAAAGTTTGCCTCTTCCCATGCCAGCAGCCCTGTGGGCAGACAGGAGCTGCTGGTGAGTGCACTAATTGGGGGAGAAATAGTGAATTCAGTCTTGGCTAGGTTTTATTTTTATCCCGTGTTGCAAGCTAGTGCCTTCCCGGCAGACGCAGAATAATCAGGTACTGATTTCTGGGGAACTTTGGAGTCTCTGAAGATGTTTACTCCCCTTATAGCTAGCTCATTCAGGTAGGGGGAAACTGATATGGGAAAATCCAGTGACTAGCAGTGTGTGGCAGCAAAGTGTTGGTCATCCTTTCGACAAAGGAAAGGGGGCTGAAGGAAAGCAATAATGGCATAGTGATCTCACTGTTGTCATGTGCAGGCAAAGAACTACTGCTAGTCAACACAGAATGGATAATGCTATTGATGCTTTGTCCTCTTCATGGCTGTCTTTCAGACAATGAGCTCAACGAGCGTTACAAATATTTATTAATGAAGGAAACTTTGCAAAACTTCTTTGAGTTAAGTAAGTAGTAGCCTGCACACGTCACAGAAAGAGGTTGACACTTGTCTAAGGCTGGATTTCACAGTGACTCAGTGGCAGACTTGGGAAGAGAACCTAGGAGTCCTGGCTCCACACCTCCCTGCTCTAATCCTGTGAAGGACGAGATGACATTAGCTTTCATCTAATACTCTCATGAGTAGATCTGATAGGAAGGGTGTGACGGTTTGGGGAATCTATGTACAATGTATGAATTCTGATTGATGTTATATATATATATATATGTGTATATATATATATATATAACATCAATTTATTTATAGCTCTAATCCACAGAGAATATTAAATCAGCCATTTGCTAATAGGGACAATGTCATGTACATTACACCCCAGATGTAGGATATAGGAGAAGTAAAAAGTCCATTTCCTGCCATACATGACACTTTGTGATGATGAAAAATTGGAGAAAAAATAAGGAATCCCAGATGTTTAATGCACAATCTAAAAATGATTCTGGAAGTTAGAGAAAACATGTGTAGCTTTACTTCAGTAATGGCGGAGATGCTAGAAACACTAATTAGAGACAGACTATTTTATCTGCTGTTCCTAGTTGCTTAAGAACTGTCAGAGCTCCATTTAAAAATTGTATGGGAATTGTCAGGGTACATTGCTTGTCCTATGATGTCTTTCACAGTGTTGTTTGAAGATCAGCTTATGGGAAGGCCAGCTCTAACATAATGGAAAGAGATCTACTGGCACAAGTAGGGATATATTTTCCTGCAAGTAGGCCCTATCTAGCTAGCTATCCATCCTAGGTACTTCTCTGGCTCCCATTACTGGAGAATCTGAGCATCTTACAATCTTCACAACACCCTTGTGAAGTAGAAACAGGGAAGCACTATTATCCTCATTTAATATATAGCCTGCCTGTGCCTCAGTTTCCTAAGTGACTTGCCCAGAGTCACACAAGGAATCTGTGGTAGAGCAGAGACTTGAACCCTGGGTTTCCCAAGCTTTAGGTTAGTGCCCTGATCACTGGACTGTCCTCCTTCTTAGGCCTTCATGCTCAGACCCAGTCTTATTCTTAGTAAGTTAAATATTTTGACTTTTATAGAGGGCAAACCTCATAGCAAAATTTAGTTAAAATATCAGTCTAGGATACTGATTCCCTCTGTGGTGGGAAAATATTTAATATTTCAATACCTGAGTGTGACAGGGTTGTGCTGAAAAATGTGGTTGAGAAGTTGGTTAAAAATAATAGTCTTCAAATGGGAAATGTGCAAAGATCTTCACCTGTGAGAGACAGGGATGGGAAACAATCTGTTCCTGTTTCTCAGCGTCAGAGCAGAGAAAGTGTGCAGTTGTAGATATGGCTCTTTTGATGCTGGGTTTATTAGAACCACACTGATGCCAGATGTCAGCCTTTTCTTCTTAGGAAGTGGGCACCAGTGAGATTTCTGGAAGCTGTGGCTGAGGATGTGAACCTCGTTCCTCTCTCAGCATTGAGCTCAGCAGTTCTGACGCGAAGGGGATGTTGTGGGGTTTGGGTTGAGGGCAGAGTAAGAGGAAGGGTTATCAATGAACATCTGTCGTTCTAAATCTATCTGGAACAAATAGCAGCATCAAGCCTCTGAAAAAACCCCATGATCTTTGGCAAACACCCACCAAACCAATAATTAGTGTTGCAGTGGCACTTAATGACCCCAACCAGACTGGAGCCCTCTTCAGCCAGGTGCTGTACAGACCTATGATAAAGGACAGATCCAGACTGCTGAGAATTTCAAAATTGGCTGGAGTATTATGCAGCCAATTTAAAATTAATGCGAATCTGGTGTCCCAATCCCCCAGGAAGCTTTTGCAAATCACAGCCCACAATCTATAAATTAAGGCAAAGTGCAAGAGGAGGGTAAACAAACAGATGGAGTGATTGGTGACGGAGGACAGGATAGCAGGAATATGAGCTTGTTTTTGCTGACACTAAGTGAGCACAATTTGTAGGTGAGGAGATGGCTTTATGCTGAAAAAAAATAGAACTCCCATTAACCTGCTCTATCTCTGTACCTGCCTATCTCCTTTATTTCACCCATCTCCGTACCATCTAAGCACTCTTCTCATGTACCCATCATCTATCACCAGCCTTTCATTACTTGTAAGCAATAAACACTTAATCCCCCAAATTAGTACATTCTGGCAGCAAATAAGAAAAACCCGACCCTTCCCGAACCAATCTGTTAAATGAAGCAAATGTTGTAAACACCTGAACGACTCCATAACTGGCTTCAACCACCTCCTCCTTCCCACCCGCACCCCAGAGTGCTAGATATAAATGATTCAGCTTTGTTAAACAGCACTGTTCAAATAATAGCCTCTCATTCAGATGGCATCAGCTTTTGCTATAAGTTTGCACAGCAGAGCTGTTTTAAAAAAAACACCACAAGTCTTTGCCTGATTCCTTTAAAATCTCTCTTTATTTTCTTAGGTTACATTACAAAACCCCCACATCATCTGGAAGAGGAGATTTCCAGCGAGCTGCGCTGAGAGGATGCACTGGGAAGCGCAGGGGAATGAAGACCTCCTTAAGAGAGAGGAGCTCCTGCCCGACAGCCAGCTGAGGGTTAACAAAATGAACAGCTCTTGTGCGGGCAGAGTATGTTCTTGGCAGTGAGCGGTGGTCTGTGTTACAGTATGTGAGAGCAGGAGTGTGGAGCAGCTCATTTCCATTCACCAGCTGGCAGGTTGCGCTGAAATCTCAGGATCCAGTGTCTGGCTGCAGCGAAGCATCCCCCTCCTCGCCACTCCAAACCTCATCTCTTCCTCTGGATGGGGGTCCTCTCCTCTTCGCGGAGCGGGATTTGACTCGGGGATGCTGCCGTGAGGAGTTCACATCTGCAGCTTTGACAGGACTTCCCCCGACTGTCTGAATGAATGAATGCCTTTCAGAGCAGAACCAGGTAAAACACTCAGCATTACTTTCAAATTCTTCCAGTCAGCCTCCTGAAAACAGGATGGGCCAAATACAGTCCTGGTGTAACTCTGCTGCAGTCAGTGGGTTTGACACCAGGGATTGGATTTGCTCCATTGTCATGACACCAGGCAGATAACTCGCCAGGTTGGTCTCTTAACATGAGAAAAGTATAGCTCGTTTTTGGTGGTAATCTGTTAACACTGTGTCCTGGTGGAGGTCTATTGGCTTATACACTGTGCATATGGATCATCAAAGTTACAGCAAGTGACTAGTAAAACTATTAACATGGACTGTAGAAAAGGTTGTGATGGGAAAGGTCTGCTTGTATTTTTGGAGGGGCTTGGTGGTTCTTCTCATCTGCTCTGATGTACAGTGTTAGGTGTCCTTGTGATAGGCCCCCTGTTAACATGCTACACAACACAATGATGGAACATGTATGTGAGTGTACATGGAATGTGCTACATTTTCATACCAGCGTATCTCCTAAGACAGCCTATTTTGCAGAGCTCTTGAACACTGCAAAACACTTTCTCCATCTCTTTGGAGAATTTAAAAATCAAGCTTTCCTCCCTGGTGCTTGTCCCTTTTTTTGTGTTTCTCGTTTTGTGCAGTTTTGCTCACAGAACACAAATATTCAGCTTAGAGATTCAAGTATTTGCCTTGGAAGTGCTATGCTTAGTATGGTATGGGACACCACTTGATGCAGCAGGGCGATCAGTTAACCAATCTCTCTCACTGGAGCCTGAGCTCAGAAGCAAGGAACAAGACATAAAACAGTCTGACCACCCCTTTCATAGCTAGTTCTGTGCATACATATGCCATTGCTTTGCATTTTTGCCTGTGATGAGATCAAGAAATTAAACTAGTAAATAACAATCATCTTCTTGTATTTTATGACAAGGTATACCATTTAACACAGCAGGTGAACAGGGTTCTCAAACCTCATGCCAGTACCCTGACACAGAGGCAGTTAAATAAGCAAGGATGTGAGCAGATATTCATTATTCTGTATGAATGGAACAAAAGGAGACTAAACTTAAACACTGCATCCAGAAGATAAAATTTACAGCAGTCTAATTTTACTAGGAATGATGCCTTTAGTAAAGGCCTATATGGCCCAGAAAAAAATAGGTTAATGTATTCTGAAATCCCTAAGCCTGCTGGTTGAAATTTTCTGAATTTCAGTGTTTTGACAACAGGAAGAAATATAGATTAACCTTCCACAAAATGTTTCCTGTTTTTAACCAGTTTATAAGGCTAGCAAGAAAAATGTCAAATTTTGAAGTTTTGATGAAAATTTTTAATGAAATTTCAAATTCTGAAAGAAAAAAGCTGAAAAAATTGACTAATATTTTTATGAAATGTTCTGTTTTTTTCTCTTCTCCCTGAATAGTCTCCACTCCCTCAGAGATTCCATGGATGCTTCAAACCTTGCTCCTGATTATAAGAATTGCAGTCACCCAGTCAGAGCAGGGAGAAGATCCATGTGACTTTTGTGACTAATCATGTCTAACCTACTCATCTTATATTTGATCTATCAAGTACTAAATATTTTCACCAAACAATTTTCAAATAATCCATAAATTAAAAAACAAACAAAACAAAAACCAAAACACTTCCCAAAATAAATACAAATAAAAATCATGGAGTTAATAAGAGGAAATCATGACTGTAATGTTAACCTCCTGTGATTATTAACATTTCCCAAACAGAAAGAGGCTAAATTCAGCAGGTAAATGATTCTTGTGAAATTATTTGCTCCACTCTTTAATATTTTATATACTATATATAAACAGAATGGCTGTTCAGATATGTGTCTCATTTTAACGGAAGCAAAACAAAGTTTTCAAGAGTTTAGATATATGGTTCCTCATTCTTTTTTTGGTCATATTTCTTACAGATACAGATGGATAAAACAGGGGCTTGTGGATTTGGTCTTGCCAAACCCAGGAGTGATTTAGGACTGGGGTCTATTTATTCTTATCTATTTATTCCTTTCCTGCACTGCAAAATTCAGGACAAGGAATGCGGTGGTTGAGTGGTTTCATTTTTGGCCCAGCCATAGAAAGAACATGCTCCTTTCTCTTCAATATTGATTTCCTCTATAAATATACAAATTTCTCCACCATTAGAATTAGTTGGTAATTTCAGTCCACTCCCAGGAGCTGAAAGGTCAGGTAGGATCAAGGGATCTTAATTGGCTTATAAGCGCTAGAAGGAAGTACAATTAATAATAATACCTAGCTCTGAGGAAGTCGTTTTCATCAGTTGATCGCAAAGCCCTTCTCAATCTTTAATGCAGAGCACCACATAATGGATGATCCCTAAAAGAACATGCGGGTGTCAGGGAGACACCCTGTTCAGATTCATTCCAGTCCTGCGTGAAATCATCATGCCTCAGATCCTACTACTTGTCTGATCAAAGCATCCCTTAGTGCTGCAGCTCCCTGGCTGTGTCATCTGTGTTCAATGGGAAGCGGGCTGGTCACATAGGTTTGGATCTTTTCCTTGTGCCCAGCTGCTGACTTTCACTAAAAGGCAGCTGAAAATGCTTTTCCCAATACATTTCCATGTAAGCATTCGCAGTAGCTGCCTCTGGTTCATGCTGTGATCATGAAGGGAGAGGAGATATTCTGCATAATCGTGACTGGGAGGGGTGGTGTCCACAGGACAATCTCGCTATTAAGAGGTGGTCCTTGCTATGGAAAACTTTGAGAATCCCTGCCTTAGCTCATAGCATCAATGCCAGGAGCAACATGTTCTGCTATCAACACTCATGGTGGCTAGATGGTGTCCTGGCTGCTGGACGGAGAGAGGATGTTAGCACAGTTCTCAGGGAGAAGGGAGTTACTGTGGGTCAGTGAGCTAAGAGGAGACGGGGGGAAGTACATACGGCAGCAGTGAGAGAACCTAGGCAAATATTGCAAAAAGCATTTTCTAGGAATATTGGTTCAAATTGTAAACAAATTAATTTAGACTGTCTGTTCCTGTGAGCGGTCTAACTTTTGGGAGCATTTGTGGAAATGGAGAAATTTAAGCAAATGCTGGGGATAATCCTTAGAAAAATACATGTAAGAAGAATTACTGTCCATAAGGCCTCACAAAGGAAAAGGAAAGCTGATTGTGTACGTCCAGTCAAGGAACAGAAACATACTGTGACTTGGATGACCAATCACAAAGCTCAAATGTAGGGTTACCATATTTTGAGTGTCCAAAAAGAGGACACTCCACGGGCCCCCGGCCCAGCCCACGCCCCCCGCCCCAACTCCACCCCTTCCCCAAAATCCCCGCCCCAACTCCGCCCCCTCCCCTGCTTCCCGCGAACATTTGATTCGCGGGAAGCCTGAAGCAGGCAGCAGGTAAGCTGGGGTGGAGGGGGTGGGGGCGCGGCCCAGTCTGGCCCCCCCAACCGAGCATCTCCCTCCGGCCCCTGCCCCGGCGTCTCCAGCCTGGCTCGGCTCGGGCCCTGGGGTGCCGGCCCTGGGCCAGCCCCCGGCCGAGCACCCCTGGCCCGGCCCGCCCAGCACCGCCGGCCCAGCGCCCCCGGCCCGCCCCCGGCCCAGCACCCCCAGCCCGGCCCCTGGCCCAGCACCCCCGGCCCCGCAAGTCCCTATTTTCCTGGACATGTTTGGCTTTTTGGGATTTCCCCCCGGACGGGGATTTGAGGCCCAAAAAGTTGGACATGTCCGGGAAAATCCGGACGTATGGTAGCCCTACTCAAATGTCCACAGTGAGCTGCTTATTAATGAGCTACAGAGCTAAACATTATTTAAGAACATAAGAACGGCCATACTGGGTCAGACCACAGGTCCATCTAGCCCAGTATCCTGTCTTCCGACAGTGGCCAATGCCAGGTGCCCCAGAGGGAATGAACAGAACAGGTGATCATCAAGTGATCCATCCCCTGTCACCCATTCCCAGCTTCTGGCAAACAGAGGCTAGGGCAGGGTGTGCAAACTACGGCCCGCGAGCTGCGTCCAGCCTGTCAGACGTTTTAATCCGGCCCTCAAGCTCCTGTTGGGAGCGAGGTCGGGGGCTTGCCACGCGCCGTGCGTGCCATGGCTCCACGCAGCTCTGAGAAGCAGTGGCATGTCCCCTCTCCAGCTCCTATGCGTAGGGGCAGCCGGGGGGCTCTGCATGCTGTGGCTAATGAGAGTTGCAGGGGTGACTGCTGAGGATGGGGCAGTGTGAAGAGCCGTCTGACTGCGCCTCCGTGTAGGAGCCAGAGGGGACATGCCACTGCTTCTGGCAGCTGCTTGAGGTAAGCGCTGCCTGGAGCCTGCACCCCTGACCACCTCCCCAGCTGGAGCCCTCACACACCCCCTCGCCCCAACCCCCTGCCCCAGCCCTGATCCCCCTCCCACCCTCCGAACCCCTCGGTCCCAGCCAGGAGCACCCTCCTGCACCCCAAACCCCTCCTCCCCAGCCACACTCCAGAGCCCACACCCCCAGCCGGAGAACCTCCCCAACCCCCATTTTGTGAGCATTCATGGCGCGCCATACAATTTCCCTACCCAGATGTGGCCCTCAGGCCAAAAAGTTTGCCCACCCCTCGGCTAGGGACACCATCCCTGTCCATCTTGGCTAATAGCCATTGATGGACCTATCCTCCATGAACTTATCTACTTCTTTTGTGTAGAAAGTAGTCTGTGCAAGCTGCCATAAGGCAGATCATGCATTAATCAAACAGAAGAAGAGGCAGAACTTATCAAATTATTTGTTACATTTCGTTTGTCTCCATCTCTAGTATACAACTAGCAAGAGCCTTGAAGAAACTCCATCAGAGGCTGATATCTATAATAAATGCCACCATCCCCAGCAGAAAATGCATTGTCTTGAGTTCACTTGGAAGGATGCAAAACCTGATTAATTTGTAGGGAATGTTTTCTAGTGTATATTTGGTCAGACTTTATGCCAAGATTATATTTATAAAATATAAAGGGTTAATAATTGACTATGGACCAGTAGCTGTTATAAGCATTTTAG